TTTTTAAAAATATGAGAATGGACAAGTGTAGGTGATATCAATTCAAATGATGTTTATCTACATTGCTTTTTCTTTAATACTATTTTTTTAAATTCATGTTTAAAATTTTAAGTATAAAATCATAGAAATAATTTTCTCAATTCTGAGTTTTCATGTGTGTCTTTAAAAACATCTGATAAGTGTAAAAGTACATCTCCCCCCACTCTCCGTTGGAAACTACTTTTTAACCTCCAACTATTTTCTTCTTTCCTTTTCTCTTCTTTCTCCTCCCCACTTCCTAAAAATAAATAAAAACTGAAAGTTATATTTTACTTACAGCCTACAGACTATTAAAGCAACAACAGCAGCCTGATTTAGGTACAAGGGAAATATCTAAATGCTAAATACTTCCAAGTGAATAATATTTGATTTTGTTAAAGACAAACACGCATATACAAATTTAGGCAATTGTTCCCCCTACCCTTTTCTTTTTAAGTATATATATAAAAAAACAATATCCAGGAACAATATTTCTCTTATTTTATTGCTGGAAGAATAAATGCGGGAATTTTGTAACTCATTTCCCTATTGTTATGCATGCAGAAAGCCCCAAGTATAAAGAAAACATAACTCTGTCTACATATATATGTACCTGACTTACACATTGGACTTTATTTGACACATCTGTAGTATGTGTTTCCTCACCTTATTTGCATTCTTTCTCCCTCCACTACCTCTCCATTTTCTATTGCTCTATTGTGGTAGTGGCAATGAAATGTTTTTAGCTTAATTCCCATGGATATGAGTAACTATTATTGTTCCTTTTGAATCTACCAATTCTTATTTCAAGAGAGAGTACCACTGTTGTGAAGGCTTTAAAGAAACCAAAAACAAAACTACTTTTCCTACAGAGGCCTTGATTGGGAGTTGGAGTAGTAGCAACTTCAAGACAAGAAATGCCCCAGATAGAAGTGCCAACAACATGACTTTTAATAAAATTTTATGTTCATGGTACAAAGAGGTTAAGAAGAATATTATAAAAACCAAGTAGGCCTTGGTTATATTTTAGGAAAAAAATAATAGAGGCAGTAAAGGAAACAAGCTTGATAAATATGTATAAAATATATGTATCAGTAATACGTATCAGTAAAATATCCATAGTGATGTATATGGATATACATATTTATATAAATATCTCCTACATATTTGCATATGGCTTCATTAAGGAGTTCAGAATATACACTGGATGTTGGTTTCTATATAAAGATCTTTAGTAAGAAAAAGTATATTTTTTAATCAATTCATACTTTTTTACAGAATATTGAATGAGGAGGAAGTTAGTTGGTATAAACCAAAAGGGAACCAACAGGTTTGATAGTATGAATTATCTGCTTTTAGATAAAAAATCTTTAAAATCAGTATTACTTATAAAATATATTTGTTCATGAGTATGCACAAAACATTTGGCATATTTTATACACATCACACACATATGAATTGTGCACAATGCAGCTGTAAATGATTAGACAATCTGAAAAATGCAAAACATTACATGTGTTAATTAGTAACTATAAAATTAATAAAATAATTTTGCTTTGTATAACAAAAAACAACTTCAAACTATGAATTGAGGGGGTCTAACTGCTGGAAAATTATAGTTATATGTACAATTTGTTGCTTCCGATTCATCTACCAAAAAAGTTGAATAAAGCATGCCTATATATATAAAATCTTAAGACAAAAGTGCTTCATATTTGGTAAATTACTCTTCAGACACCACTATAGATAACAGTCTCTATTTTTATGAAAGGACTCATAAAATCAAATAATACATGTGAAATTGTATGTAGAAGTGGTAAGAAGAGTATAATAAATCAATATTTACTAAGAATGACTCTAGTTAGTATTTTTCTTCCCCAAAACAGATAGAGATGTTTGGAATTTAGTCTAAATAGGCAAAATAAACAGTTCACTTGGATTTGGGGGCCAGGAGGAGCCTTCAAAGGAAAGATCATTTACCCTTACATATATAATAATCTTCCCATTCTTCATCAGAGTAATGGGGGCTCACTTTCCAGAAGTGCACCTGGTATTAGTTGGGGAGGAGGAAGGATGGGTGAACCAAGGGAATATAGTAGCCTCAGGAAGATCTGGGTCCAATTTCAGAAGGGGCAGGTTAGTAGAAAACACTGGTGGAGAGAGAGATACTCTCAGACAGCATTAATAAAATCATAAAATCACATCTGCTGAAATAAAATCTACCCCTAGCCTTCCTCACACCATTTCCCACCATGCATGTTGTGTGTGTGTGTGTGTGTGTGTGTGTGTTTGGAGGGGAAGAGTGAGTGTAGGCATACATAGGAACAGGCCTCCTGTGTGTACTAGTGCATTTCAGGGCTGAGCTGAAAGGCCAAAAGTCAGAGGAAGAGAATCAAGAATCAAAACAATGACTAATGATTTCTAACCTGAAGTAAAGCAGATGCGCTGCTCACCCGGAACATGCCTCTGTTTAAATGCTCCATTTCTCACCGCACACAATAAGGCCAGGAGAAGAAACCAGATGTGATTTTTTTTTTTTTTTTTGGAAAAATGTTTTATTTAAACCTTTTTAATCTTTACAACAATAAAATATTGTGTCAATATAAACCCCTTGACTAAAACTGTTCACATCAAACATTACAGCGAATTGTTTTCTTTTCGACACCCAACTCATCTTTGAAAGAATTTCCTTTTAAACACAATGCAGACTTTATTGAAAATAAATAATTGTTGGCAACTGCAATAGGCAATTTGAATAAAATAGTTGAAAAAGCAACTCTTAATGAAAATAGCGTTTATTATACATCAGTTACTAAATGAATAAACTAAATGATCTTTCTTAAATTAATAACTTCAAAAACGTTTAATATACAAAACTGTACAATTATAAAGTCGGCAGAAATATTTGGGTTAACTCAGGTTTGAACCATAGCTTTTAACTGTAAAGGAAAAAAAAAAAAAAAAACTCAAAGCAAACAAAAAGCCCCAAACAATTTGTGAAACATGAACTCAATGTGGAAAATAAAATCCCAGAACTAAAACCTAACTATCAACAGAATACAGAGGCTTGACAAAAAGAGTAAAAGGGTCCGGGATTTGAATGAATACATGCTCTTCGACCTGCAGCTGGGGGAGACACAGTGTGGTGAACCAGAGGCCTGGCAGCCCATACTAGTGCATCCTCAACAAGGGGCCCAAGGCTTTCTGGTCCATAGGTAGTTTGAAGCTTTGTCTATGGTTGCTGCGCCTGAAAGTCCAGCCCAGCGACCAGCCCCGGCGTGAAGAGTCCCCAACCAGATCCGGCCAGCGGCGGCTGGGTGTTGGGTGCTTGGCCGGCCCAGGACTTGTGTGCTCATCGGGAATGAAGTGCACCTGCGAACCTGGCATGTGGACGTGAGAGCTAGCAATAAAGCCACAGCAAATGCATATTTTTGGGATCTCTACACAGCCTAGAGAGAATTTTTTTTTGTAGTTTTTGTTTTTCGTATACAGTAATACGATACACACTGCTATCTACACACACACACACACACACACACACACACGTTATGCATACACACCCACACACACACGCACAGAGACACATACACACAGAGAGATAAAAATAATAATAATAATAAGCAGGAACCCAGCCGCCCGGGCGCTACCTAGCTCACTCGATCTTCACCATGGGCTTTCACCAGCTGTGCTTGTCAGAGCCCCATCAGAGACAGCAGTATATACACAACAGAGGAGGGGTGCGCGGCTAGACCAGTGACTTTTGCCAATCATCTCATTGTCGTTCAATACCTAACAGAATGTTCCACTCGGGTCACTCTCTCATGACCCATCTCGCGTTTCTCACACTGAGAGCGGCGGTGAACTAGAGGTGAACTGAATTGGGAGGCACTGGCCCAGTCATTCGCTTTCCTCTCAGGTTCTGGGTCTCCAGCGAAAGCAATCGCTTGGGAAGGCTAAGTCTTTCGTCTAAGGATGGATAACCGCAGTCGGGTCGCGCAGGCCATCAACGCGGCTACGCTAGGCGCCTGAGGGGAGCTCCATGCACAAGCAACCGGGACCTCAGTGGGTGCAGAACCTGTCCCATACTTCAGGCCACCTCTTTTCCTGGGATCTATGCTGAGGAAGTCTGCGGGGACTCGCTAGTTTGCAAACCCACTAGGCTTTCCCATTCTGCCCATCCTAGGCAATCCACCCCTGGGGGAAAATATAACCAATATCATTATCAGCAACTCTCTCCATTGTATCATCTCCTCTCCATACAGTTTTGGGGTGGGGGTAGTGATGGGTGGGTAGGCATTTCTCTCCCTCCTCCTCCCAGTCTCCCATCCCTTTTCTAAGCAATTAAAAAACCATCAGCTCAATGAAAGAATAATAATAATAGCAATAATAACGTGGAGTGGTCGATTAGATACAAATTATCTCACAAATATTGTGTACAGCTTGTAGTAAAACACCGCAGACATTTAGAAATGCTATAGAAGTTTTAAAAAATGCAAAACTAGTCTATTGTAAAACAGATTTCACCTGAAATACAGCTGCTATAACCAAGGCGCTGAAAGGTTATTCAGAGGCACACATCTGTCTTCCCACCCCTTCCACCCCCACCCCGCCCCCACATTACCCCAACTCCTTGCTCTTCCTAGAGTGGAGTGATCAAACAAACCTTATTCAGAGTAAACAATATGTATTGATCAGCATAAAAGGTTTGGAGGGAAATTGCCAGGGTGGCAGGGAACATGAGGTCCCCACCTGAACTGCTTAATATAACTGTGTATCAGAGTTGAGAAGCCTGAATGTGTGTGTGTTTGTGTGTGTGTGTTTTCTTAGCATAAGTTAGAACCCCCTCAAAGAAAAGAAAAAGGAAAGAAAGAAAGAATTATAGCAATAATATAGAGTTATAGCAATAATATAGAATATTAAAATGAAGAGAAGAGAGTAAAAGAGAAAGAAATCCGCTCTGCTCCCAGTGCGGCTGGCCTCCTCTCTTCCTCCAGTCAGAGATCGTGGCACGATGTGTCTGTTTTCACGGTGTGAGAATAAACCTCATGCGGCTGCTGATCCCCTGGCGGAGTCATTCTTTTTTCTTTTTGTCTTCGATTACAGAACCAGACACGCACCACTTCTTTCTCCAACTGGAGGCTGTCTGCCAGCGAGGAGATCTCCTGCGCGGCAGGCTTGGGACACTTGAGGAAATGCGTCTCCAGTACGCCCTTGACACTCACCTCGATGGAGGTTCGCTTCTTGCGCTTGCGGCCCTGGGCGGCGATCTTGTCAATGCTGGTCGGGCTCCCTGTGGATGAATCCGCCTCTTCCAGCCACTTGTTCAGCAAGGGCTTCAGCTTGCACATGTTCTTGAAGCTCAGTTGCAAGGCCTCAAACCTGCAGATAGTGGTCTGCGAGAACACGTTGCCATACAATGTGCCCAGCGCTAGCCCCACGTCGGCCTGCGTGAAACCCAACTTGATTCTTCTTTGTTTGAATTGTTTGGCGAACTGTTCCAACTCATCTGAGGTTGGCGTCTCCTCGTCTGAGTGGTCCTGGCAGTGGTGTGAACCAAGTTCGCCATGGTCTGGGGGCTCACGGAGCACAGGATGCAGGTTCTGTGTGGAGGCGGCTGCCGGCGGTGGGGTGAGTCCCCCGTGCTCCAGCATGCCGCTCACGGTGAAGCCGGGCTGTGAATACACGTTAAGGGGTTGGCCGCTTGACGTGATGGACGGGTTTGGAGCTGGGCTCGTCCCCCAGGCGTTTGGGTGGTTAGTGTGCGGCGAGTGGTGGGCTACGTGTGGCGAGCGGTGATGGATGATCGAACCCAACTGCAGGTCTTCACGTCCGGGCTTCACGTCCTGCTGGTCCAGAGGGCTGGTGGCTAGCGTGGAGGACCAAGGGCCCCCATCGCTCAGACTGGTCACCCAATGATGCCCGAGGGGATGCCCATTGCTGGGAACTCCCTGCAAGTATTCACTTTGGAGAAGTTTTTGAGGATTGCGGAAAGGACTCCCCTGCTGCATGCCCGCAGAGTCCGCATGGACTAGGGAGCTGGAACTGAGAATGCTGTAGGGATTCGAGGCAGCTGTGGCCATGGTCGGTGAGGATCCCCTACTAGTTATAATGTGGCAAAGGGAGCAGCTTCAGCCTTTGACATCTACGGTGCGGGGGAGCCAGAGCCGCTAGTGGCGGGTTACCGGCACTGGCCATGGCCAATTGCAATGCGTTTTGGCCTGGCCAGGCGTGAACACAGCCAATGGTGGCGCAGGAGGCCGATCTAGCTTTCCAAATTAGGCTGGCGAAGCTCTGGAGTTTCAGTGAGACCCAAGCAGGAAGTGAATCAATCTTTGGGTTCCATTGGCTGCCTAGCACACAGTGTCTCTTTTGGTTAACCCTTTCCCCCCTCCCGTCAGATTAAGCGAGTGTTTGTGGTTGGAAAGGGGAGGAAGTATTTGTGTGAGGGTATGGGGAGTTGAGGCGGCAAACTGGGATTTTTAAAACTCCGCTTAGTTCATTTAGATTGTTATAAAGAATGAAAGAGAAACGTAAACAAGTTTAAATATCATTTTAATCTTAATACATAAGGATTTTTCAGACTCACTTAGCATTCTGATTTAGTGTTTACCAGGGATTGCAAAACGAAATACCGCTACAAACTTTGAGGAAAGCAACGACTTCTATAGGAGCCTAAATCAATGAATTCATGAATCCATTAAGAGATATTTCAGTTTACTTTATTTACCTCAGTTATCACTTATAAGAAACACTACTACAAGAACTGAAAGTACCTGAGATGACCAGTTTCTTCCGAAAATTGAGATATTATAAGAAAGTAAAATTTAATGTGATTATGGCAAAATTTAGTTATTTTGAAGTTTGCTTCCCAATTCAGTTGGTCATTTGGAAGCCTAACTTGATTACTACTCCATGTCAGTTCTTATCAGAAGTCCCACAACTTCTATAAAAAAGCACTGTTTGCTGAAGCCGGCAGCCCTCATTCACACTCACGCCAGGCACTCAGCGGACCCCCTCCCAGTAGATAAACAGGAAAATATTCACTACTCTTCTTCTTCTTGCCGTCTTCTTGAAATTTTTGTTTAAAACATTTACCCACCGCTCCCCTGCTAAACTTAAGAAAATGTGTATCATTTACAGTGCCCAAGATATTCAGTGAAAGTGAGGCAGTTTGGCAGCTAATATGCTCACCTCCTCCTGCCTAATTCCTATCCAGCTCAAATTTGCGTTCAGCTTGGGAAAACGGGACTATTTTTTTTCTCTACGTTTTGATTAGAAAAAGAGACAAGAAAGACTCCTATCTTTTTAAGCTTTTATAAATTTGTGACGGACAAGTCTATGTGCTCCACAGCCCCGAACAAAATCGTTGCTTGGAAGCAGAGTTGGAGAGAAATGCAAAGATTTTAGATTTACTCTATTTGAGAAAAGGCAACACCCAATATCCAAGACGAAATCTGAAGTTTAAAAATGACCGTTCATAGCATAATTTTGGAGGTAACCTAGCTGCATAATTATATTTGCACTTACGGAAGACGGCATCAGAGTTCGCTTATTGGTTTGAAATTCCATTAAATATATTGCAAGAGCTCCTAGGTTAAGCTTGATTTAAATTTGCATACATTTTCATATATTTAGCAGAAATAAAAGAAGGCTTGCAGCTACCAGAAAGTCATTAAGGCATTAGTTTCTCTAAGAAGACAGATCTGAAGAAAATGAGAAAAGTAAAAACAAGGTGAGCTTATTCTGCCATTCTTTATATACTAAAAAGCATGTATTTCCTGTGAAATTAGTGATTTCTTAGAAGGGCACAGAGCAATAGGAACTAATATTGGTAAATGTAAATGTGTTCATTAGAGAGGAAAACCTGGCATCTGGTGGAGATCTAGTTCTTTCTTTCTATTTTTTATCTTAAAAAAAGATAAACACTTAGTAATTATTGGTGGAGAGGATCATTTGCTATCTCCCCCCTTCCCCCTTTTCTCATTGAAATTGTAGCTTCATTTGCTGATGTCCTATTGTAAGGGCTTATCTGATTTTAACCTAGAAATTGATTTTCTCTCTCTCTCTCTCTCTCTCTCTCTCTCTCTCTCTCTCTCTCTCTCTCTCTCCCCCTCCCTCCCTCCCTCCCTTGGTCCCTAGCTCCTGATCTCCAGCTCTTTAGCTTTCTCGCTCCCTCTCCCTCTTTCTTCCCCTCCTCTTTTAAGTACACACTGTCTTTTTCTCTATGTCTGTATGTATCTCTTCTCTTTTTTTGCCAAGGAACGTCAGTTCTTCTAACAGCCAAATGTGTGCATCTTCCTTTGCAAAAATGCAAACTCATTTGTGCATGAACTTCTGCTTCTGGAAGGCAATAAGAAGGTATTAAAATCACACAAATAAAAGTTTTAGTTGCTCCAATAGAATATCTGTTCAAGGATCCATTTGGCAGTCTGTGTTGGGTCAGCTTGGAGTTCAGAGGGAAATAAATTGAATAAACTGTGCAAAAAATTATCAGGATCATTGCCATGTTTAGTTGTTGGTAAGTTCCCCACCCCTAGCTCACAGCTGCATTTGGGTGAAAGAGCTAATCTTAGTTTGGTCATTCAAGGAGTTAAGATAATTTTCAACTGACAAGGCTTTCACATGAAGAAGGGACTCTTTTCCAATTCTGATTTGTTTGAGTTCTTAAAATCAACCTTCATCTTGCTCATGGCCTCTCCTTCTGATACCGGATACCGGGATTTACAGCAGGTCAAAAGTGGTTCAGACCATTTGCTCTAAAGTTGGGGGTGAGGAGAGTAGCAAGGAAGGGGCATCAACATACAAAAACAGGTTTTTCACAGTCTTGTTTTACAGACTTTAAGAATCACTTCTATCAGGAGCAAAAATCTTTGTCATCATTTTTCTCTGCCTCTCTCATTTTTACAAATTGTTCACATGAATACAGATGCTGCATATTGAATTCAGGTGTAGTCACATCCTATAGCAGCTGTGATAGAATCTTCTCTTGCATGCATCCTTTTTAAAAATATCTGCATATAGTCAAATCTTCTTGCTGTTCTAACTAATCTACTGGAGAGGTTTCCTTCGCCCTCTCCTGTCAGTCTAACTTCCCAAGTGTAACAGATGCTGCTCTCAAGCGCTCCTTTCTGCAGCTTCTCTTTATTCAGCCTCGCATATTTCTCCCCATGATCTGGGTTTCCATAGAGAGCGGAATAAAAGGGGGGACCATGGTCACAAATCCCCTGCCCCATGCAAAATAAAAGAGCCTCATTCAATAGACGACCCTGTCTGGACATGGGAGCAAAATAAGTCCATGCGAAGCTACTGTTGCAAAGATCTGGTAACTTATTTTTCATAGGCTGCATTTTGCCTTAAACACTGAGTTACCATTGGCAAACCTGCTCTCGCCTCAGCAGCTGCGCTAAATACACATCTAGCTGTGTTCCTCATCCAGATTCTGAAGTCCACTCAGGATCCTCATATATGATTCTTCCACCCCCCTCCCTGGAGCTAGGGTTTGAATAATATCACAATGGCAACGGAACCTACTGGTCTGGGACCTCTGAAAATCGCCCTAGAGAGAAACCCAGCTTTGAAGTGGATCAACTGTAATTGTAGAGAGTCTACCACCTACCTCCAGCAAGGCAGCACAAGTTTGAATTCCTAGGCTAGGCAAATATTTGCCACAATCTTAGTTCCTGGTTGAGTTGCCTTCACACTCCAAGTGCCACCGGTTTTATACATCTCCCTTGCTTGTTTTTTAACAGGAGAATTCAGTTTTTTACTAAAAGAAAGTTAGGTTGTCTTGATATATTATATATGCTTTATTTGTCACTTGGAGGTTAGTTGTTGCTTTCCTTCCTCACTAGGTATAAGGATTTCTGAGAGTTTTTGCAGAAACCCAGGCCCCTCTCTTTCCACACAAGAAAGGACACACAAAAGAAATTAAGCAGATTAATGTGGTTCAGGTCGCACTCCTGTGGAAGCATGCAAGCATGGCTGCAGCTGGGCAGCCTGCATCAGGCTTCTTGGAACAACGCCCCAGCCATGGGGATTATGACTCTTGCAGATTTCATATTTGAGTGTAGATTAGGAATTTTCATTATGCGTACAAATTGCAAGAGGAGGGAGGAAGTAAGTCTGGGCCTGGAGCTGGCAGTGGGTGGAGGTGGGGGTCCAGAAAGAAGTCCAAAAGACCAGATTTGACTGTGTAATACACATGAAGCTCCAGACAGTAGGACATTGTATGTAGGCATGGCTACAAGATTGAAAACTTCACCTTCAACACAAGTTCACTTTGAAAACAGGACAAGTTAGATTGGGTTTGGTAGGAACAAGTGCACATTTTCTTTCTAAAACCCAGGAGCTCATAAGGGAAGGAAAATAATTGAACAGTCTCAAAGCTGCAGAGAAAGAAGCCTTTTTCCTGGTCTCTGTACACTGAGCTCATGAAATGTTCTTGTGAGACACAACTGCCCTTCAGTGTACCAGCCCACTGCAGCTCTGCTTATACTTCTTTTCTTTACTTTTCTTTTTTTCCTTTCTCTCTTTCTTCTTGTATTCTTTTTTTTTCCATCTGTATAGGCAGAAAGTAAGAGACTAAAATATCTTAGGGAAGAATGTTAAAAAAATGAATTTAGACAGCATGAGCAGACACTAGCCAAGGCTGACTAAAGCTCAATTAGTTCATTTTTAGAATCTCTGTTTTCTTTACAATTACATGAGGAAAATGATCTTTAAGGAGAAAAAGAGGGAGAAGGGAGAGAGTGACAGCATACAGCAAATGATGCAACAGAAATGGGGTAGCATAAAAATAGAATATTCCTCATGTAGCATTTATAACAAATACTTCAGTCTGCCAGAACTTTAGTTACTTAGCAAAACTGTATGTCGATGGAGAAGCACTGAGGCATTGTGTGGCTGGGGCAGCTGCCAGTAGGATGGTTAGAGGACAGTCAGGGACAATAGAGATCCTCAGTACTGAAGGAAAGGATGGTTCTTAGGATAGTTAGGGGACAGACAGGAACATTAGAGATCCTCATTACTAAGGGAAATGATGTTGGAACAGCTGCGTTGCCCAGGTCGCGCTGATCCACTCTCAGTTTCTCTTTGGTGTCACCTCTTCCTTGCTGCTCCTTTTGTCAGTGTGTGAACCCTGATCTTTCAT